GAGCCGGATCTAGAGAAAGCAGTAATGGAGAGAGAGAAAGAGATCGGGATTGAATTAAATGGGTTCAATTCCGTCGCTGCTAAGGGGAAGGGGAAGAAGAGAGAGAGGTGAGAGGGAGAGAGATAGAAATGTGAAGGAATCTAAGGTAGAGGGGATTACCGCCGGTCCACCGCTGTTGTTAGTGTATTGTGCGGTCGGGGAAGATGAACAGTGTTTTTCTCGTCCAAATAGTTATTACAAGGGTAATATGGGGATTAAAAAATATTGCAATGGCCTTTTTGGATGGAAGGCTAACGGAAGGGGGTCTTTGTCTCACGGTCACAGTACAGGGGGTGGGGGTTTGTCGCAAAACAAAGTACAGTGGGGTCTTTGTCACAAACCCCATAGTACGGGGGGTCTTTGTAATTTACCCTATATTTTAATAACACTATATAACAAAGTTGAACTCAATGGAAACCCTAAACCCTAATTGGCAAATCCCATTTGTTCAATTGACTTCCAGTATTCGACAAGATTGTTCAGCATATGGTAGACCATTTGGTTCACCATACTTCGCTACAAGTATGGTGTTTTTGTTTTGTTCTGTTTTCATTTTGGAGCAAGCTGGTTATTGGGATTAGACAAATAGTCTTCCTCTTATTGGGTGTCTCTCGAACAGTTTTATCTTCTATTTAATGAATTAATCATCCTCCTTCCTGCTATTTGTCATTGCTCTATTCAAGATGGGTGGAAGCAACTCATGATTGAGTAGTTTCTAGTCCCCTTCGTTCTTAAGTAAAAAACCGTGCCGTAGCTGTACACATCAGTCAGTGAAGCCATGTTAGAGACTCTTGTTGTTGATCCAGTCCTGTGCTAAGTACCCACAAGTCCCTTTCATTCTGGTAAAGATAATTTGTTAATCCTGATTTTTTTTATCAATAACAATACTTTCATTAATCAATTAGAATAATTAATTATACAAAGGGGAAGATAAACTCTCTTAACTCCCACAACGAGGAAACCAGAATTACAACTGAGCCCATCAGCAAATGAATTAGCAGATCTCTTCACCCAACTGAACTTTATTTCCATGTCCTTAACCAGCCATCTGAATTTTCTCCTTTTGTTGTTGTAGTTCCATGATCCAGCCTTGTCTTCTTGCAGCCACCCTACCACCACCTCTGAATCCCCTTCAATTGCAAGCCTTCTAATGTTCATATCCTTTGCTCCTTCGGCACCTTCCAAGACTGCAAAGATCTCAGCCTTGAAATAGTCACTGCTCCTGATTGGGCCTGAGAACATAGCTAAAACAGTCTCATTCTCATCCCTAAATACACCCCCTATGCCTGACTGCCCAGGATTCCCTCTACTACTACCATCAAAGTTCAGCTTTATAAATCCAGTGGGGGGAGGGGTCCAAGACAGACTAGACTCATTTTGATCTGGGCACTGCTAGCAATCTCTCTCCAATTCCTTAGCAGATCATCCACAGTAAAATCTGTGAATAGGTCTGATGATTTCAGCCACTGAACTACCCTGATGTGAATCAGCTCTATCAAAATTTCAACACTTCTCTTTCAGAGAAAAGTCTTGAATTCCTTTCTTCCCAAACTGACCAGCACACCGCAGACCTTAGGCATCTCCACATAGTTCTACCCCTTTTCAAATGCCACCTAAAAAAAGAAGAACCAAAAAGGCTCTATACATCAACAGGGGAGTTCCACCCAAGCCCAAAGAGAGAAAATGCCCATTCCCAAATAGTTTTGGCAACTTGGCAAGAAATCAAAAGGTGAAAACCAGTCTCCCTATCAGCTTTACAAAGAATACACTTATGAGGGAATAAACAAGTCTTGGGTCTCTTTCTTTGAAGCAAATCACTAGTGTTGATTCTATTCAAAAATAACTCCCAGCAAAAACTTCCAACCCTAGGAGGAATGGGCTTGCACTAGATCTCTTTAACAGGGAAAGAAAAGCCTATGGGATTATCTGGCTGAGTCAAGACTTTAAAGAAGGAAGCACAAGAAAAGGAATCTGAGGGGGTGGGGGTCCAAATTCTAGTGCCTTCCTTGGTGGGGTCCAAGAAAACATTTTCAAGAATACCCAGGAGAGCCAAAGTGTTGTTCAGGTCTGTATCTCTAACAACCCTTCTCAAGCCCAGGTTCCAACCAAACCCAGAAGTCGAGGAAGAAGAGACAATGAAGGAGTATATGGGCTCATTTTTTAGGTCGAAGAAAGCATACAAAGACAGAAACTGGTCCTTCAAAGGGGAATTCCCCACCCAAGTTTGTTCCCAAAATTTTATGAGGTTGCTTGAGTTTAATATGAAATGAATGGTAGGATCCATCGTATGGACGCCAAAACTGTTGCGGAATGGGTGGGCGAATTTCAAAAATTTCCTATCTTCCTTCCAATTGGGAATCGCATTCCCTGATTTTAGAATCAAAATTCAAGGATCCTACTTGAACCAAACCAAACCAGATTTGAACCAAAAGACAAGGGAGGGATTATACCTGATCCAAAGAAGCAGTATCTCCCAAAGTTGGTGTTCACGCCCAAAGAAGATCCCAAGATCAACTCCCACTGAAGATGACACAGTGATGATGGAGCTGAACCAGCAGTGTTCGTCCCACGAACCAGGCTCTTCTGAAGAAATCGATGGAAGACTGTGAGCACCACACGAACAATCAAGAACCTTTCTTCATCTTCTCTAAATGAGAACTCGAACTGGCAGAAAAGGGTGGTGGCAGCTGCTGGAGGAGAAAGCTAGAGAAGAAGATGGCGAACTGTTGTTTTCTTCTCTAGGGTTATCTGAGATCCTATCTCAAGAATGCAGAGTTGTCTGCTAAAACTCCCTAGGGTTCAAATTCAAGTAATTCAAATTAGGGTTTTCCTCTTTCTTAATGATTAAGAAAACCTCCTAATCATATCAAGAGTTGCCCTTATCCAAATCTGTATTTGAATTAGAACTCTTCTTAATCTTATCTGCAGATTAGATCATCTTTTGGGTTTAACCTAATCTCAGATCCACCCCCTTAAGTGACTGATCAAATCAGCCCAGATCGAAATGGGCTTTAGACTCAATATGTATTAAGTGCTCAATTGTCTTCCAACCTGTTGCCCAGTTGGGCTTTTTTGTATGGCGTGGGACCCAAGCATTGATCTACACACCAGCCACATGGGTTC